AATCTAAAGAATAAATAACTGAACTAAATTAATAACTAAGCTACGTCAAGAAAAAGGGGACAAAACTGAGGGAGAGTCCAGGCTGGAGGCAGGGTGGGGATCGGTGGCAGGAGAAAGCTGGCTGGAGGTTGCAGGCAGGACAACAGAGCGGTGGTCAACAACAACAACAACAACAGAGCGAGCCCTTCTCCCATTGGTCACCACAGCCTCAGGCAGGAGAGGCCGTTCATTTCCCCATTGGTCAGTTTTCATAACACGCCCACTGTCAGTCACTCAGCAGCGGCCAATCAGGTTGCAGCACCTGTAGAACGTTCTGGAATTACGAAAAAGGAAGAATGAACCGTGAGGTCGGCCAATCAGGCGGCCTCGCTAGAAAAACAAACTGGAGGTGGGAGGCGCTTCCAGGCCTCCAATGGAACATGTTTTTCTGGAATTTGTTTTTTGTTTTCATTTGTTGTTTTTGTCCAAGCGTGAGCCGGCCGTCAGTCTCTCTCTTCCAACAGCTGATTTCAGTGCAATGCATCATGGGATGACGGCTCGCTAGGAGAGGGCGTGTCGCTGCGAGCGGGCGTCATGACGTTGTGATCGTTCTCATGAGTTTGTTGCTCTTTGTGCTGTTTTTGTCTCTGAGTCTTTTTCAGTCTGGTTTTATCTCTCTGTCGTGTTTTATAACATCACCAGCTGAATATGACGAGTATGAACTATGAGATGGTGTTATGGAGGTAAAGATGCAAAACAGAAGCACTTCTTATTATTATTGACTTCAACTGTGGGATTCATCAACATTTATTGTTTTTTTATTTAGACTTTCCTTCTCTTGCTTTGAGCCACAGACTCGGTGACGTGACTGTTGGTGGCTGTAAGTCTGAGGGCTTTTTGGGGTGAATGACATCTTTTCTATTTTCACTGATGACGTTTGGGGCGGTGTGGAGAGAGCGTGACTTTAACAGGCCGCCTTGATAATTTGCGGTCACGCTGCTTCTGTTTTTGAGCTCGAAGCCGCCGTAGGCAGGTCTCTGTTTGCTCCGAAAACACTGCTTCTCGTTGTGTTTCGGTTTGGGATGGAGAACCAGCTGACCCTCTCTGCTGCCGCCGCCGCCGCCGCCTCAAATCGCCTCGCCGAACGCCGTGAGTGAGAGAGGGAGTGCAAGACAAGGCTGCTTCTGTGTTAACTTTACTGTTTCCCTATAAAAACCTGTTTTCCCAGGATTGTTCTCAGACCTCAGCGGCCTTATAAAGAGACTATTGACTCCCTGTAGTAAAAAGCAGTCTTTAAACGTGGTGAAGTGCAGCGTGAGGAGATGAGCTGCCGCTGGAGGAGGAGGCTGTTTATTTATGGCACAATAAAGTGAAGGAGTGAGACCTCATGTGTTCATCACATGCTACATAAACCCCCCGTTTGTCTGCCTTACCCCTAAAACGCACGAGTGCTTTTACTGCCTTCACACCCCAACATTTATACTGAGGCCACATTACTTTAACCTTTCTGCAGTGTAACAATCATTTATAGGCGTCAGAGTTTGTTCTTGGGCTTATTTCAGCTCCTGTAGCTTCTCACAGTCACAACAACCAAACACAGAGCAGTCAGGCAGTAGTTACAAGCCTCCAAAGATAAGGAGTTCTGGGGTTGAATCAGTTCTGATTCTGGACAAACGAAAGATGTCTCGAGCCTCTGAGCTTCTGGAAAACAAGTGGTCTGCTCATAGCAACAGGGTGGAAGCAGCTGAAGGAATTCCCTGAGCGCTGTCTTCATGCTCTGCTTCTGCTTCTGAACGAGTGGTACCATCATCAACCTCAGGTCCGTCTTCATCTGCAGAGCTGTTGCCATCAAAACTCTCCAAAATATTGGAGAAAATGCTGTAATTCAGGTGCTGCATGTTGTTAAATTTCAACATGAAGAGAACGTGGAGGCAACTTATAATGACAACATACAGAGCACCATGAACACAGATGTTTATTTACCCCTGTAGAGACCATGTATATCATGTATATCATGTATATCATGTATATCACGTATACCATGTATATCATGGTAGTCTGGAGTGTCCAGTGACTCCTGTTTATTAAAGGTCTTCTGGAAATATGGCAAAATCTGCTGCGTCAAAAATATACATACAGAAACTTGAATTCTCAGTTTTAGTGATATAGAAAGTTGTGTTAATTGAATTCTCTTATTTTTATGGCCTCTTAACTTCTCATGAGTTACTGACTCCAGCTGCTGACTCCTCTGATCCAGTGTAAACAGAACCATCAGATCCACTCATTAGACTCAGACACAAACACTACAGTGGGAAAGTCTGAGGAGCTCAGCAAAGATCTGGAAAAAAAAAAATCATTGACTTGAACCAATCAGAAAGTCACTTGGAGCCATTTCACAGCAGCTTCAGATCCCAGAACCATCAGTTTGTCAGCATAAAGTTCATGGTCCAGCTGTGTTACTGCCACCATCAGGAAGGAAACAAAAGTCTACCAGCTGCTGCTGGGAGACGACTGATCAGGATGGTCAAGAGTCAATCAGGAATCAGCAGAAAGCAGCTCTGGATGGACCAGAAGCTGCTGGAACACAGCTGTCAGTGTCCACAGGGTCTGACATCAACATGAGCTGAGAGGTGATGGAGAAGGAAGTTCTTCCTCCAGAAGCAGAACCTTAAAGCTCTACTGAAGTCTGCTGCTGGTCACACGGACAAAGAAAAGGCCTTCTGGAGGAAAGTTCTGGTCAGATGGAACAAACACTGAGCAGAACCATGTCTGGAGGAGAGAAGGTGAGGCCTTTAACCCCAAGAACACCAAACCTACCATCAAGCATGGAGGTGGCAGCATCATGCTCTGGTTCTGTTCTGCTGCCAGTGGACCTGGAGCTTTACACAAAGGCAATGGAACAATGAAGAAGGAGGACCACCTCCACGTTGTTCAGGAAAACCTGAAACCATCAGCAGAAGGTTGATCTTGGACACAGTTGGATGTTCCAACCAGACAATGAGCCCAAACACACATCAAAGTGGTGAAGAAATGGTTCCATCAGGCTGGAATGAAGGTTCTAGACTGGTCTCCCCAAAGTCCTGACTGGAACCATCCAGAACCTGTGGACTGATGAAGAAACAAGTCTGAGTCACAAAGACAACAAGTTTAGTTGAACTGCAGCGATTCTGTCCAGAGGAATCAAAGATGAACCAGAAGCTGGTGGACGGAACCAGAAGAACCCGACTGGCCAAAGTTAAACAAATATCAGCATTTCTGTACGTATATTTTTTTGACCTGGCAGATTTTGTCATATTTCCAAAAGATCTTAAATAAATCTAAGACAGAACCTAAACTTGCAGTTGTTTTCTTGTGACAAAGGCAGCAAAGTTCATGGCTGTCAGGAGGATAGTTTTGGAGATATTGAACCTTATTTGGGAGTGAAAAATAGAAAGAAGTCAGGAAACATGAAATTCATTCGTTTTGGGCCCCAAAAAACAAATAAGTAAACACTAAATGACATGTGAGATGATGGAGGGACACAATTGTCTATTCTTGTAAAAGTGTGTCTTTAGCTCCATAATGATGATGTCTTTAAAAGAATATTGTTCTTAAAATATTCAAAGGCACATTTTAGTCAGAACATTTTGCAGAAACTGTAAATTTGGTGCATTCGTAGAGAAGAGTGTGTGATTATAGTTTCTTAGTTGGTTCAGTGAAAAAGTTAATAGCTTTTTAATGGTCTTCACTGTTCTGATGAGTAAATGTAGAAATATGTATGAATGAATGAATGTGATGTAACAAATGTGTTCCTCGGGGGAAGATGTAATGTTTGCATGAGAAGGTGTTTCAGTAGAAGAAGGTAAGATCAGGCTGCAGCAGAAAGCCTGATGGCTGGATGAAGCTGAGATCAAACCTCCTCCAGCAGTGTAAACACTGAGCTTTGTGTGTTTGTTGCGTGTCTGCACATACACTGACTCTGATCTGAATGTGCTGTTTTTGGGAGCGACTGAAATTTATGGAGCGTCGTCGTGTTTTTCCATCACGCAGCTGCCGGTCTGAATGGAGGCCTGCTGCGTTAAAGCTGTAACACTGTTCATCTGCTCTGAATGAAGCAGCTGGAACGAGCTGCTGACGGCTCTGTTTGTGTCTGACGCTGGTTGGCTCCATCCGTCCACCTGCACACGACTCCTCTGGTCGCTCTGCACCTAATCCTGTTGGTTTTGCATCTCTGTGTTCATTTTGCATCTCATTTCGATTACTCTGCATCAGTTTGAGGATATTTTGCGTCACTTGTTGGTTGTGTTGCGTCTCATGTTGGTTACTCTACGTTGTGTTTTGGTCATTTTGTGTCTCTTTGTTGTCATGTTGCGTCTTATTTTGTTTGTGCTGCATCAGTTTGTGGTTGTTTTGCATCTCTTTGGGGTGATTTTGCATCTCTTGTGGTTGTTTTCCATCTTGTTTTGGTCATTTTGTGCCACTCTGTTTGGTCCACGTTGGTTTGTGGACATTTTGCATCTCTTTTCGATTGTTTCAATTTGGGTCATTTTAGGTTTTATTCTGGTCTTTTTGTTTCTTTTTGTGGTCATTTAACCACATTTTTTGGGATGTTTTGTGTGTTCTGCATCAGTTGGAGGTTGTTTTCCCTCCATTAGGTTGTTGGTTTGGTTCCTTCAGTCGCTGTATGACTGCTTTTTTTTTGTCATTTACCAGAAGTTGTTTGTTTTGCATGTTTGTGGTTATGTTGTCTGATTGTTTTGTCACTTTGTAGTTATTTAACATATTATTTATGTTATTGTGCATTACTTTGTGGTTTTGTGTTGATTGTTGTGTCACTCTGGGTCTGTTGTGCATCTCTTATGGTTGTTTGTTTTATTTTATTATTCGTTTTTTTCCGAGTGTGCTGATTTCACACCATTTCAACGCTGGTTTTATGGATTCGTCTGGTCAGAGGAGTGGAGCTGTTTACTGGTTTCACTGGGAGGGAGGATGAGCAGAACTGTGTGTGTGATCCTAACGTTGTGTCTCCTCGTCTTCCGTAGGTGGAGGACGAAGCAGAACCTAGACTACTGTTTCCTGATGATGTACGCTCAGACTAAAGGAACCTACTACGTCCAGGTACACACACATTCAACATGAACCACCGACTCTGTTCAGCGTCTCTTCGTCGTCATTTTATTGCATTTTATGGCTGCTTTGTGTTTAATTTTGGTCAAACTGTTTCTCTTTGGGGCTGCATGGTGGCTCGGTGGGTAGCACCGTCGCCTTGCAGCGAGAAGATCCCCGGTTGTCTGTAGCCCTGTGACAGACTGGTTACCTGTCCAGGTGAACCTGTCTTCACCCTGAGTCAGATGGGATAGACTCCAACCCCCCATGACCCTAGTGAGGATTAAGGTGTAGAGATGATGGATGGATGGATGGATTTGTCATATTGAGCGGCTGTGGCTCAGGTGTAGAGCGGTTGTCCTGTATTCACAAGGTTGGCGGTTTGATTCTTTCCACAGTGGAAGTGTCCTTCGGCAAGACACTGAGTCTGAAGTTGGTCCCAATGGCAGGCAGCACCTTGCATGGCAGCTCTGTCACCATTGGTGTGTGAATGTGTGTGAATGGGTGAATAAGAAACACACTGTAAAGTGTTTTGAGTACCACTAAGGGAGAAAGGTGCTGTATAAGTGCAGACCATCTACCATCGTGTCACTGTTTTGCATTTTATTTTGTGTCTCTTTCATGGATATTTTGTGTGGAAGTTGTTCCTTTACAGTCTACATTTAGCTGCTTTGTGTCTCATTTCATTTGTTCTGCAATTCATATTGGTCACTTTTCATTTCGTTTCTGATTGATTTACATTTTGTTTTGGTCCTTTTGCTCTCATATCAGTCATTTTGTGTCCCTTGGTGGTTGTTTTACACCATATTGTAGTTGTTGTGTTTTCTCTGTGGTCATTTTACAGCTTTGTGTTTCTATTCTGCACCAAGTTGCTGTTGTTTTGCAATTAAATTTTCTTTATTTTGTTGCTGTTTTCTGTGTTAGTTTGGTCAGTTTGCATTTTCCAATGGTTTTGTGTGTCATTATGTTCATGTTGCGTGTCTTTGTGAGCAGTTTGTGTCTGTTTGTAGCTGCTGTTCATTACATTTTAAGTCATTCTGTTTCTCTTTGTGGTCATTTAACATGGTTTATAGCTGCACTGTGTCTCATTTAGTTTTTTCTGCTTTGATTTGTAGTTCTGCAACTCATTTTGGTTCATTTTTCTCTTTTTGCAGTGATTTTTGTGTCCCTTCTTGCGTCTCCTGTGTGGTTTTGTACATCATCAGGTTCACAGTGCATCTCTTTGTGGTTGTTTTGTGCCATTTTAGAGAATTTTTGAGCTGTTTTGTGTCTAATTTCAGTCATTTTGCATCTCTTTTTGGAAGTTTTGTGTAACTCTGTGTCTCTGTGGTGGTGGTGCATCATATTCAGCTTGTTTTGTGTGAACTGCGGTTATTTTAGACCATATTTTTGTCAGTTTGTGTTTCTTTGCAGTCATTTCGCAGCACTAATTGATTACTGTGTGTTTCATTTCGATCATTTTGCGTGACTGTGGTTGTGTAGCATCTTTGTGGTCTTTTTGTGTCTCATTTTGATGGACCAGACCTCCCTCAGCCTCCCTCATCTACTTAAATACAGATGTGTCGCGTGTACGTTTCTGTGTCCTATAAACATCTCACGACGCTGCACTTCGACCAGCAAAGCACGCTAATGAACTGAACACAGACGGAATATTCACACGGCAGCTTCAGCTCGTCTCTGAGTCTGATAAAGCACGGCGGCCATTAAAGCAAAGTGTCTGTGATGTAATCCTGCTGCTGCTGATGAAACTGTTGCATTGTGGGTAGACTGACAGCGGCGCTAATGGAGATGACTCTGTGACACAGTCTTTGTTCCCGTTTTAGATTAAAGAAAGAAGAAAAAACAGACTCTTAGCTCCTCGTCCTCCTCCGACACTCAGGAGGGAAACACACTTTATATTTAATAAATTGCCAGATAACTGCAAAAAGCCTCACAACAAAGACAAAGAGATGTCACATGACCATAAGGAGATGCAAAATGAGCACAACAAGATGCAAATGGAGCACAAACAGACAAAAAAATCCCACAAAAAACACAAAATGAGCACAAGAAGTTGCAAACTAACAACAGACACACACACAAAAAGACAAAAGATGCAAATATCAACCACAAATATACAATATAACTACATACAACAAACAGGACTTACAACAAAGACAAAGTGGACAATGAGCACAAAAATTGCAAAATGAACACGAGGAGACTTAAAACAAAGACCAAAAACAAAATGCAGCATGAGCGCAAAAAGACTCAAAACAGGCAAAAAGATGCTAAATGAGCTCAAAGAGATCCAAAATGAGCACAAAGAGACTCAAAACAGACATAAAAAAATGATAAATGATCACAAAAAGTTCCAAAATGAGCACAAAGAAACTCACAACACATACAAAACGATGCAAAAAGATCCTGAAGACAATCAAATCAAAGTGAGCTTGAAGAAACGACTTAACAACCAAGATGCACAGTTAGCACAAGAAGACACAAAATACGGATAAAGAGACTCAAAACAAAGACAAAAATATGCAAAATGAGTATAAAAGGATGCAAAAAGGATCCCCAAGACAATCAAATCAAAGATTAAAAACAATCAGACTGAGTACAGACAGTCTCACAACAGAGACAAAGAGATGCAAAATAAGAACAAAACAATTTAAAGCAAAAGATGCCAAATGAGCACAAACTCAAAACAAAGACAAGAAACATGAAGTAAGACAAAGTGACGCCGAACACCGACAACAACACACCAGACCCCCACTGAGCGACTCACACTCAGGCTGGTTGTTGGTGGTTTGTATGTTAAACAGAAGCTCTGATGGAAACTCATGGAGACTTTTCTTCACTCTGTGATCTGCAGCTCCAACCCTGAACTTCCTGCCAGCGTATCTCCCTGCCACTTATTTTCCAGGATCTCAGTCGGAGCTTCGCTGCTCCGTCGAAGCGCTCTGACAGCAGAACCACACTCCGTGTTCTGACACCTCAACTCTCTCTGAACTTTGCAGAGTTTCCCCTGAGTGGAGGAGGAGGTGGAGGAGGTAATTACTGCATGTCGACTCCCCCGAGGTGACGCGTCTGTCAGGGAGCTGCCGTCCACGGCTGGATAACCTCTGAGTCTGCTGCTGCCTTCACTTCTGCCATCAGATCAGCAGCTAAATCAGAGTTTCACTGTGAAACCATATTCAACAATCAGAGGGACTCAGTTTTACACAAATTATAACAAACAGGAGACGTTTGCTTTAACCTGAGCTGAAATTATACAAAAAAACAACACAAAGAGGCACAAAATGACCACAAAGTTAGCACAAATAGATGTAAAAGGGCCACCAGGACACAGAACAACCAGGAAAATGACACAGAGACATAAAACAACCACAGAGAGATTTAAAATGATGCAGAAAACAAAAAAAACAAAAACAAAAAGAAAACAACAATAAATAGAATAGAATAGAATAGAATAGAATAGAACAGAGTGTAATATAAACTCTAAGTAAAATGAAATGAAATGAATGAAAATGAAATGAAAAATACTTTATTCATCCCAGAAGGGAAATTCAATTAAAAAATTAAAAATGTCCTGTGTGAAGTGAAGCGCAAATAATGTACAAGAGCACAACAGAAAAAGTGGGCAAAAGGCAGTTTTCATTGCCAGAAGCAGATGTAGTGTGGCAGAGAGGGTTGGGAGCTCTCTGCCAGCCGGGCGTGATGTGGTGAACAGGGTTAGTGCTTGTGGCAGGAAAGACCTCCTGTATCTGGACCAGCCTGGTGGAGAAGCTGCTCCGCTGAGGGTGAAGCAGGCGGTCGTGGACGTTTAAATCTTAAGGCCGGGACACTTTGCTGGGTGTCAGCACAGTGAACGGTGCTGGAATTGTGACGATCGGTTGTGACGTGGACATACTACACCAACACGGAGTCCGATCAGAGCCGGCAGTTCCCCGAGACAGAAGGAAGCCATACAAACGTAAACAAAGGAGAAGGAAGAGAGCCGGGATCCATGCTGGGCTAAAGGCTAACCCTTCCAGACCAGCAGGATCCATGCTGGGCTAAAGGCTAACCCCTCCAGACCACCAGGATCCATGCTAGGCTAAAGGCTAACCCTTCCAGACCAGCAGGACCGTCCTCCTGCTCTCCGATGTCCGCTCCCTCCACAACAAGCTGGACGAGCTACGTTTGCTGGGATGAACCCTCAGAGAGTGGAGGGACTGCTGTGTGTCTGCTTTAACAG